GCTTCATGCAGGGCCACCAGTAATCGGGTCGAAGGTCTCTATACATCTTCGTCGCCCCTGGGTGGATGGAGAACCGAGACTTGTGGTCCTCGTCCATCAACACCTGCCGTACTCCACCCCAATACGGTATCCAGACCCTCCCATGCAGGGTTAACAATCCTCGACTATCATAATCGAAGGAAGCTACTTGACCCACGATCCTCTCACACTTATGATGCTCCTCCTTCAGGCCCTCAGCCTGCGCCTCCCTAATCTGCTCCATCAGTGGGGTAATCACTGTCATCCTCAGACATATATCTCTGATTGGGGCCGCTACTGCCTTGCAGCTTAAAGCGTCGGCCACTACGTTGGTCCTGCCCTGATGGTAAAGGATCTCACAGTTGTAATCCTTTACCACGTCTAACCATCGATGCTACCTCATGTTCAGATTTGGCTGATCCATGAGGTACCTTAGACTCTTGTGATCCGAGTAAATAGTACACCAGACCCCATAGAGGTAATGTCGCAAAATCTTGAGGGCGAACACAATAGCCCCCAACTCTAAATCGTGTGTCAGATAGTTAGCCTCGTGTGGCTTCAACTGTCTAGAGGCGTAAGCTATCACATGGCCTCTCTGCATCAATATTGCTCCCATGCCTATGATCAAAGCATCATATTAGACTGCAAAGTCATCAACTCCCTTTGGCAGGGTAAGAATCGGTGCCTCACACAATCGCTGCCTGAGGGTCTCAAAAGTTGTCTGCTGCTCAGGCCCCCAACGAAATGCCACCGAATTCTTGGTCAGTCGGGTGAGCGGAACTGCTATCTTGGAGAAATCCTGGATGAATCTCATGTAGTACCCTGCCAGACCTAGGAAGCTCCGAATCTTAGATGGAGACCTCGGGACCTCCCACTGCATTACAACCTCTATCTTGGATGGATCTACTAGTATACCCTTCTGGTTAACGAGGTGTCCCAAGAACCGCACCTCGCACAACTAGAACTCACACTTGGAGAACTTTGCAAAAAGTTTCTCCTTCCTCAGTATCTCTAGCACCTCTCTCAGGTGCTCCTCATGCTGCTCCTGAGTCTTGGAATAAACCAAGATGTCGTCAATGAACACTATCACAGACCGATCCAACATCGGCCTGCATACACGATTCATGAGATGCATGAACACGGCTGGAGCGTTGGTGAGCCTAAACGGCATCACCACAAACTCATAATGACCATAACGGGTCCTAAAGTGGTCTTCTGTACATCCTCATCCCTGACCTGCATCTGGTGATTTCCTGACCGTAAATCAATCTTGGAAAACCAAGATGCTCCCTGAAGCTGGTCAAACAGATCATCTATCCTCATCACTGACCCGCATCGGCGAGTCGCCTATTGACCAAGTCTATAACTCGATTTCTGGTGTACAATTCTCATCCAAAAGGTAGATATAGGCTTCTAAGGTTGATCTAACACGTAAAGTTATGAACTTTATGTGCATGCATATATCATTGGTGCTTAAAAGACCAAAAATGGAGGTTTTAGCATGCATGGGCTTCTCATGGCCCTAAAGATGGCACCTTTATGCCATGAGGACCATTCAAGGTCCTAGATCTGATGGTGAATCGACTTGGGACGTCCAAATCCCAAGAGTAAAGCTTCTTAGCCCAAGATAACCATAAGAAGACATAGGAAATCACTAGTCAAGAAGGAAGCTTTATTACCAGAAAGTGAGGGGGTAAGGTGATGTTGATACTGGATCTGAACTCTTTTCTTGAAGTTTGCCCTCCTCCTCTTCTTCACTTAACTTCAAACACAAAAGATATCACAAGAAAAGATCTGAACTCTTTTCTTGAAGTCTTCCCTCCTCCTCTTCTTCACTCAACTTCAAACACAAAAGATATCACAAGAATGGCACTCAAATACTCACAATACACAAAGGTGACGATTTAGGGTTTTCTAGACATTGAGGGAGTGACAAGGGAGACCAAAGGGGCCTTATGTTCCTTAAATAGGGGAACCAACCCTTGAAATTAGGGTTCTCATTAGACAGCGCCTACTCGTCGAGTCGGTCTTCTGACTCGTCGAGTAGGTTACTTATTTCCCCGACCCAGATTCGTTCTGACTCGACGAGTTAGGTCATCAACCCGTCGAGTCCAAGAGTGAAATTATAATATTGACTTAAGTTAGAAGCATACCTGGAACCGGGTGTTACAATCTTGAAGTAGAATTGCCTATGCACTACTTTCCACATAGTATATGCTTGATGATTATGTTACTAACGAGACAAAGTTCTCAATTTCTCATGTACTACTTATTACCACGTGTTTTCACATACACACAAGAAGTATGATGTCATGTATAGAGGTGGCAATCTTTTGAGTAGTACACTGAAAGATAGATTGAGATTAGCTTTTGATAGTAAACAACTTAGACAATTATTTGTTGTGCATATGTTGTAACTTGAGTTGTTTTTCTCTATGGTTTTCATGTTGAGTGGTAACACCCATAGAAACAAGCTATATCTTTTGTAGAACATGATGAAAAAGGGACCAATCATGTTTGATGTTACATATCACAATGTACTCTTATAGGTGTTTAAATGAGAGTTTTTATTTATTTATTTATTTATAAAAAGTGGGCTATTTTCAAAATGGCTTGTAAAAATGGGGCTGTGGCCCCACTTCTTTCAACATTCGTTTACATTTAAAGTTACATAAATGAACATTTACGTTTTATGCAGTTACCATTTTCAATTATATATTTGTTTTTTTGAGTAAATTACTGAAATCGTCCCTGTGGTTTGGTCAAAATTGCACGTTTGGCCCCTAAATTTTTTTTTTTTGCACTCGGATCGTCAATGTGGTTTGATTTTATTGCGTTTTTCGTCCATGTGGTTTGATTTTGTTGCGTTTTTCGTCCCTTACATACATAAAGTTAGGGACCAAACATGCAATTTTTACCAAACCCTAGGGACGAAAAACGCAACAAAATCAAACCACAGAGACGATCCGAGTGCAAAAAAAAAAGTTAGGGACCAAGCGTGCAATTTTAACCAAACCACAGGGATGATTTCAGTAATTTACTCTTGTCTTTTATATTTTTATTTTCATTTTCCACTTTGATTTATAAATAATATTTTTTATTATAAATATGTTTTTAAATTTCATATATAGAACTTAATAGTTTATACCTTTTAAATATTTTTGTTTACCTTTAGTCAATATAAATATTAAATATTATTAAAACTAAATATATTAAATAATTATTTGGATATTATTAGAAATATACATAAAATAAATAAGTATACAAATTTTATATATGAATTGTCCAATCAATAATAATGCATGTAAAAACAATTCCAAAAGAGTTGAAGGATCCAAAAATGTTAATGTATATTTGATGTTGTACTGTTGATGAATTTTCATCTTTGTACTTTATAATCGAGTACATTGTACTTTTTGATGCTATTAATTCCAATCATCTAAAAGAATTTTCCAATCAATCCTACAACTTCTTGGTTCCTCGTATTTGCATCATCAGTTTCTATACTTTTCTCATTTTTGTATCATTAGCTTTTTTTTCTATCTCAAACATAAGATATTTATTTATAATCGAGTACATTTTACTTTTTGATGCTATTAATTCCAATCACCGAATTGAATTTTCTCATCTGTCCTACAACTTCTTCGTTCCTTATATTTGCATCCTCAGTTTTCATACTTCTCTTATCTTTGTATCATTAAATCTTTTTCTTCAAACATAAAGTATGTATTTATTTAAAATTATATATATATATATATATATATATATATATATATATATATATATATATATATCTTGCATAAATGATATCAACATTAAATTTAAGATACTAATTTATATCATTTGTCATATGATTTGCAGTTAAATTCTCTTATATTCATTTTTGCGTATCTGGTGAAACATAAACAAGCAGATATTAAAACTATTTTGCATGTTGATGTTTCTTATGATAAGACATGGCATCGTAGGAGAAAAACCATAGATGTGTACACTAGCACTACCCATAAACTACAATATAATGATTGTTTTGCACCACTTCGCCATGTTTATTATTAGTTGGATTCAAATTGGGTGATTCAAGCGGATTACTCAAAACTTTCTGTTACTCGAGGTAGGAGGAATACAAACCGAATACGTAATGAGATGGACTCGCATCATCACGGCGAACCACGTAGATGTGACATATGCCACCAAGTAGGTTATAATCGAAAAAGTTGTCCAAATTCTCAACCACGGTTTAATGCGATGTAAACAATGTATTTTATTGATCTAGTAATTTCAAGTTTAGTGATCTTGTAATTTTATGTTCATTTGATTTTGTGATTTAATGTTGAATTGGTCTTTTGATTTCGTAATGTTATATAAATGATGTGAAATATCTATTTTATTTATTATATATTTTAGTAATATTTAATATTGATATTGAATTAAAGGTGTTAATGATATATTTTTAGTTGTATAAATTAATAAGGTTTATGTATAAAATTTAATAATATGTTTATAATGAAAAACTATTACATTAATAATATATCTATTATAGAAGAAATGTTATGTATAAAGTTGGTAAAGGTAAAAAATAAAAATAAAATGTAAAAGCTAAATGTGTAATTGAAAAGTTTTATAATATAAAACGAAAATTTTTAATAATGTCCAAGTACCATTTATGTAATTAAAAATATCATACGTATAGTTTAAATGGGGCCACAACCTTATTTTTGCAAATGGATTTGAAACACCCTTTTTTTACAATCAGATTTGAAAACAACCCCTTTAAAAAAAAAAAAAAAAAAAAAAAAAAAAAAAAAAAAACTCGTTTAAATGATAGCATTACCTGGACAAAAATGTTTTTGGACTCTTTTTTGTAGTGTTTTTAGAGCTTCTTGCTAGCCAAAAGTAATCTTTTGCCATTAAAAAAAAGTGCTTATTTGGTTGGAACTAACTGTGAATCAAGAGGATGATAAAAGGATTATTGTTTACTTTTTGTTGAGCATGCAGGAATAAATTAAAGTACAATTTGCCAATGAGAAATTAATCATGAAACACACTACAATTACAAACTTTTGACTACAAACAAAGGTTCGCCAAAAGCATCTGAGAATATGACTGGTGCTTGACTGAAGTTTAGCTACGTTTCACCAAAGTAGAATCATCTTTCTCTCACTGCCATGTAAAAAAGAAAGTAAGTATTTACAGATAAGTAATCCATATCAGTTCCAAAACTTCTATGAAAGGATGCAAAAAGGAAAACACTCAACTCAAACCCAGCTTGCAAATATACTAAATAGTTTATACAAAAAACTCACAGGTAAAGTTGGAAATTTCCAATCGTTGATGGTTATGGACGTGTGATCTGATTTCATGCGCTCGACCTCGGTTGTGAATATATGTGGCATGCCTGTCAATACCAGGTGTTCTAACTGCTGTTGTTGCAGCAATCTGATTGGAATGTTACGTAGTTTATCACAACACCTGATATCTAGATGTTTAAGGCTTTGCATCGATCCTTCTTCAACAAACCAGCTCTCCAGTTCCTTCAGCATCCACATTTTCAACACCCTAAGCTTACTAAACCCTCCTTTATGGGAAACCATTTCTTTCCCAATGTAGGACTGTCCCAAGAGCCGGAGGACAGTCAGGCACGGAAGTTGGCCGAGAGTTTGCATCGGATCCTGCTTCAGCAGTGAGATTGACAATGTCAAAACCTTCAGCGTTGGTGGGAATTCTTTTAAATCAGGTAGCTTTTCTAAATTCCCCAATAAGTTTAGATGGGAAAGTTGCCCAAGTTCTGACATTGATTTAAACATAAGTTTTGAAGGGCGCCCTTGACTATCTTTGGATCGCAGCCTTAAGGAGCGTAATTCTGTTAACTTGGAGATCCATTCCATTAAGTCATACTGGTTGGAGCTTAGCTGGAATGTAATACCCAATTCTCTAAGATCATTCAACCTGTCTAAACCATCCTTTATGGGGACTTTCTCATCCAAAGACAATCCCCATAATGTCCAGAGCCTCAAGGAAGAGTACTTTGGATGCATATTGAGACGCATTTCGTTAAGATTGAGATGGTAAAGTTTTGTCAGTCTCCAAATGGAGCACGGCAGCTCATCTATGCATGTATGCTTCAAATCTAGGGTTTCTAAGTGTGTCAATTCACCGACTGATGATGGAAGAGTATCTAAATATGTCGATCTCAGACCTAAGTACCTTAAATTGCATAAGTTACCAAGGTTTTCGGGTAAGATGGGTTTATAGACGCCCTCTAAGTCTAGCACCCGTAATAACCCAAAGCCATTATTGACTATATGTCCCAAAAGATTTCCAATTGTCTTAGCATGCATGTAATCTGTTTTCTGATGGTTAAATGACGTGTAAGATCGTAGGTGGGTTGGATTGAACAAAGAACTTTTAGGCTGTGATTTCTTAGGGGACGATGGACTCTCATTTGATGTAAACGAAGAGAAATAATTTGAGGATGAGTTTGGACTATCATATTCGACTATCCTACGGACATTGGGAAAATCTACTTCTTCAGAATTAACCAACTTACGATAGTTGTGAAACAGATTGGTTTCTTGGGCTTTTGGCAACAAATAATCATGAAGAACTCCAACCACGCGACATCTTCTTGGGCTATTGTCAGATCTCAATTTTGATATCTGAATCATGTTTCGGTTGACTAATTCTTCAAAATATGTTTGGGCGATATCCTCTGGAAACACTTTGGTCGAATCCTGTTTGACAAAGCCTTCCGCAAGCCACAGCCGCAGTAACCTCCTTACTGGAATGTCAAAGCCTTTAGGAAAAAGCACTGAATAAAGCAAGCATACCTTCAAGTGGTCGCTCAAGTCGTTAAAGCAAAGAGACAATATGTTTACAGAGTTTTGCTCACAACAGAAAACTTGAGACCAGATGCTTGGATCCTTCATGGAGAAAAAACCTGCAAGTAGGACAATATTCAGGGGTAGACCCTTACAGCTCTGTAGAATTGCAAGCTTTGATTTCTCTGGAACCAGAGTCCAACTTTGTTCTTTCCCGATCTTCTCTCTGAACATGTTCCAGCTGTCGTCTTCAGTTAGAGGCATCATACGATGCGAAACTATCTTCATCTGTGGAGTTTCGATCGTTTTTAAACAAGTCAAGAGCAGCTTACTTCCCTTCTTTTCATCTGGTAAGGTTTCCTTTAAAACTTCCAAGTTATTGCAAGTACTTAAGCCGTCAAAGATAACCAAGTACCGTTTATTCTTCAGGTATGATGAAAGCTTCAACTTCACTGCTTTCTCATCATCCATATTAATGGGTTTATCCGTGATACTTTGGGTTGCCTTGAATAAGTTGAGCAGTATGTCTTTTGTGGAGTATTTCTCCAACACCGAAACCCAAGCACAGAATTGAAAATGGCGCTTGATGTCTTTATTTTTGTAGATTATGCGAGCAAGTGTTGTTTTGCCTATACCCCTTTCACCAACAATAGAGACAACATGTTCAGTACTGTTGTTGGTGAGATGATCAACCAGAATGTCGACATCTTCTTTCAGCCCAAAGATTCCCAAATCTTCTTCTTTGTAGGAAAAGCTTGAAATTCGCCGTCTTTGCTGAAAACGTTCTTTGACACCGACAATCTGAATCTCTTCTTCGTTGCATGAGTAACTGAAGCTTAGTTCATCCATACAGCCTACATGATTTGTTTCTTGTGTTTCTGAAGTATAAGAAGAACCCTGTGAAGGGGTGTGATTTTTTACAGTTCTATGATTTTCACCCACAGGTTCTTTATCAGCTTTTTCTTCGTTTGAAACTTCTTTTATAGGAGTCCTGATCTGGTGAGGTTGATGATCTCTTAGGTACATCAGTTGTGTAGTGATTTTCTTTACTTTCTGGTGAATCTTGTAGCAAGATTTCAAGTTGTTGAAGAAGAAAATATGGTTTGTTAAGAAACCAAATACGTCCCTCCTGCAAGCAACAATGAGAGTGAACTTCTCAATCCCGTCTTCGATGTTGTACACAGCATCAAGGTATGCTTCTGGTTGCTGGTTGATTTCCATCAACTTTCTCAATGAATTGAGCGACTTAATGATCTCCTGGACGTCGTAGACTATGACTTTGTTTTGGGTTTGTGAATGCCCTTTCAGCATGTCTGTTAGTTTCTGTAACACCACAGATACTACTGCCTCTACTGCCATTGGATAAGATCTCTCTCTTTCTCTATTGTGGACTAGGAGCACGGTAGTTATGGAGTTGTGATACCAGGAAAGGTTTTTTGACCCTTTTATACAAAATTACGCCTACTATTCTTTATGTTTGGCCCACCGGCCTACAAACAATGATCAATTTGATTTATGGGTTCTTATTTGCTGATCGAGGAAATTGCATATGAGTTTTTGTTTATTGATCTGAAGAAACTAAGAAGAAGTTTACCACGAGATCTTTTCGATTGTTTTTATACATGTAATTTCAGTTAAGGTGATAAGGAAAGGAACGTTTATGTGTAGTCACCTATTTCACACTTGACACTCGGAAAGGTCATAGAAAATACAAAGAGAGGAGAAATTGATTGGCGTGTCAAATACCGTTGTCAATATTTGAAGTTACAAGTAAATTTCTGTTTCTTTATGACTAAGCTATAATCAAGGTTAATAGGAGTAAGGAAGAATTACAGGGAAGTTACGAGGAGACATACCTTTTGGTTTGTCTTCCAACACCTGTCAACTAAAGTCCATTCGTTCAATTATGACAAAATTAAATAAATAGTCCCATGATTTACCAAAGGTGACAACTTCAATCCCTGTAATTTTTTTTGGCTAATATGGTCCTTGTGGTTTTTAAACTTGCACAAATAATCTTTACGGTTTCTCAATCTTACACTAATGGTCTTGCCTAAACAAAATGACCTCTTTACTCTTTTTAAATTTTTTTATACTACATTTTTTAACTAATTACAATTAAAAATTAAAATAAAAACAAAACCACACTGGGTTTTGATCCCTACATCCCTAACGCTAATATATTTAATCTGAAGTGAAGATCCACTAACACTATTAGTCTCTTTATTTCTCCACTTCAAAACCAACCATTATGTGTGATAAAGGTAGAAACCAGGACTACGTTCTTTAATGCATTACAAGGATGGGGTAACAGATTCCTTTAGCAATGATAGCTATTTTGATTAACAAACAACAACAACAACAACAAAGTAATAGTTATGGTCAACAATTGTAACATATTTAACGTAATAAAGAAGAATTATGTGAGTATTATGTGTTTCATGATTATTATAATATAAATAACAAAAATCAGTTGAATCGTCCGTAAATCGTAAAAATAAGTGCGCCAAAACATATATATATATATATATATATATATATATATATATATATATATATATATATATATATAAAGTACACGTCTCCCCGATCCCGAAAATATAAATTTTGCAGAAATCCGACTCCGTATGAATTAGATATGATTTTTATAAGATATAAAATCACACACACACAACGAACGTATGACGTAAAAAACTATGAAAAGAATGGTTGACATTTAGCCAATTCCACCAAAACGAAAATCGTAGTACTCAAAATATGAATTTTGAGAAAAAGAATGTCAAAAACTGAGTTCGTATGACAAAGTTATGATTTTAGCAAAATCATTTAATTTTATAAAAATATGGACGGAAAATAATATCAAAATTAGCCGACGGAGTCTAAATGAAAGTTGTAGATCTCGTCGATAACTACGCGTGGATATAAAGAACGTCAAAAATGGAGTTCGTATGAACGAGTTATAAATTATAATAGCATATTTACGTATTAAAATAAAGTATAAATCACACACACACACACACACACACACACACATATATATATATATATATATATATATATATATATATATATATATAATGACCTTATAGTTATATAAACGACTAAACACACTTTATAATATTATTTTAGATAGATTTAACGATATTTGTACTAAACTAATATCGAAAGTACTCAACACTAGTCTTATAATGACCACGTCGTCGATACATTTCTAATGATATATATATATATATATATATATATATATATATATATATATATATATATATATATATATATCATTAGAAATGTAAGACTAGTGTTGAGTACTTTCGACATTAGTTTAGTACAAATATCGTTAACAATTTATACATGTTTAAATGATTTAAACTGTAAATGTATGATGAGGAATAAATGCTGATATAGAGGAACATTGGCAGCTATGGACTTAGTGCCTTATAGGTGGACAATGGCAGTAATGGACTTAGTACCCTATAGATGAGCATTGGCAGCTGCGCCACAACCTGTAGATGTTTTTGAACTACAATGTACTCTAAACATCCTAGCAATTGCGCTTAAAGGATACTATCGGTAGCTGCGCCTAATAGAGAACATCATAATCCTGACAGCTGTGCCTAAAGGATAATGTCGGCAACTGCGCCTAATAGAGAATGTGTAACGACGTAAATTTTAAAACCAATTTTTCATTTTCATAATCATCAAAAACATCGATTAATATTTCAAATTCAAACGTGAACAGTGTTATCATAACAGAATACATCCCAATGATCATAAAATAGTTTTTCCCCGACAATGTGTACGATCACGTCGGCGCCTTTCCACGGTCCTCGCTAGTACTTGAAACACATAACACAACAACTGTAAGCATAAATGCTTAGTGAGTTCCCCAAAATACAACTTACGCACATACGCCTTTCCAGGCCCTGACTTTCCGGTCCATGTGTCTCAGGGGACTTCCGTCCCGACTAGGTAAACCCTCCGGTCCTACCCACGTCAACCTTACGGTCCACATTACAACGCCTTCCGGCCCATAACATATTCGCCTTCCGGCCCATGACATAATGCCTTCCGGCCCATATCAAGCATAGCATACATAACACACATAAACAATTAACTTATCACATACAATGCATATATCTCATAACATATCCGACCTTCCGGTCACACAATAATAAGCCCTTCCGGGTACTCGCTATCTCCAAATCCCAACGACGACCCTACCTCGCCTAATCATAAAAATATCATTTAATAATCAAAGACTTCCACAACTAATACTTTACCTTTATCATCATTCCTCAGAGGGTAAAAGACCATTTTACCCTTCCTTGACCTAAAGTCCTCATGTTGACCAAAACCCTAAAAGTCAACAAAAGTCAACCCTGTGAGTACGCTAGGCGTACTGCTAGATGTACGCGGGGCGTACATCGCCAATCCCATGGATCGGGGTCTCCACCTAGTATGCTGCGCGTACTGGAAGTTACGCCCAGCGTAACCATCAGATTCTAGCACACCTCATTTCTGGTCTTAATCGGTTAAGCCATTATTCCAACTTTTAGATCCGACTCTGTTAATGCGTCTAAACCCATAAAGTCGAGACCTTTAAGCCTTGGCATAGCTGTAAAGGCTCCAACACCTCTTAGCAACATTATATTCCAACTCAAGGACCTAGATCTCATGCATGGTGCGATATCCACGTCCAAGATGTCATTTTTATGAGTCTACAACTCCAATAGATCAGAAATATGAAGTATCTAAGCTTATGGAGGCCATTTGCACAAAAAGTCTCCACCTTTGGGACTAAAACCCTAGAAAATGATACTTGAAGCATATAACATGAACCAAGTGACAAGATCCGAACTTTTTACCTGATAATGAAGCTTTAACCCTTGCAAAGCTCAGATCTACACTTGAACACCACTTCTAGTCTTTCCAATGAGCTTTTCTTTCCTTTGCAACCTTGGAATGGCACCACCAAGCTTAGAATACACACACAATGGCTTAAGAACGAATGCACACTCTTTTTAGGGTTTCACTCTGAGGGATGGTGGCTGAGAAGTCCAGCCACACATTCCTTTTATAGCCCTCCCAAGGAATTAGGGTTTTTAGATCTGGATAAGTTACGCCGAGTGTAACCTTGGGTACGCCCAACGTACCTGAGGGTGAACGCGTCCAAATGAGGCGTGCGAGTACGCGCGGCGTACGCCTTGTACGCACAGCGTACTCGCCTAACATGAAAGCCTTAAATTAACACATAACCAAGATGCAGGGTCAAATAGAAGGATACATGGATTTCGGGCTGTTACAGAATGTCATAATCCTGTTAGCTATGCCTAATTGATAATACTGATAGTTGTGCCTAATAGATAACATTGACAGTTGTATCATTGGTAGCGATGGACTTCGTGCCTATTCCTTAGGACAATCATTAGGAATGAATGAGTGAATCTTAGATGATTCTTAGGGTAGATCCTTAAGAAATAAAGAAGATAATGAGGATGAGTAATCGGGTTAATTGTTTGATGATTAAACATAATATTTATTGTGGGTTGAAAACCCTATGTACTCACCAGGTTTCCCAACCTGACTCACTCAGTTTATTTGTACTCGCCTAACATGAAAGCCTTAAATTAACACATAACCAAGATGCTGGGTCAAATAGAAGGATACTTGGATTTCGGGCTGTTACAATTCTCCCCCACTAGAACCAGACTTCGTCCCCGAAGTCTCATACTGAAAACAACTCTGGATATTGATCCCGCATCTCAGACTCGGACTCCCATGTCAGCTCGGACCCCTTCCGATGTTGCCACTGCACTTGTACCAGGGGTACTTCCTTGTTCCTCAGAACCTTAACCTTCCGATCCTAGATCGCTACTGGTCTCTCCACATAGTTCAGGCCTGCATCCACCTGAATATCATCTAATGGCACCACTGCCGACTCGTCGGCAATACATTTCCTCAACTGCGAGACATGAAAGGTATCATGGATCTGCCCCAACTCAGCAGGTAGATCCAACCGGTAGGCTACCCTGCCTACCCTAGCAATTATCCTGAAGGGTCCAATATACCGGGGTCCCAATTTTCCCCTCTTCCTGAATCGTATTACTCCTTTCCAAGGAGAGACCTTTAAGAGCACAAGGTCGTGGAGCTCGGACCGACGCCTGTCCGCATAACTCTTCTGGCGACTCTATGCGGTCAACAACCTCTGCCTGACCTGTTGAATCTGCTCGGTCGTCTGGAGTACA